TAAAAATCGGTATGTTGAACTGGAGTAAATCATATTGATAGATGATAGCATCTATATATAGTATAATGCAGTCACGAATTGCCACATTATAACGATAAATTATTACAACAAAATCCGTTGAACATGAACAACTTCTACAATTCAATAAATGTAATAGTATAAATAATTAGTTTTGCGCGTTCAATTTTTAAAATAATATACCTACTAACTGTTGAATGACATTTATTTTTAAAAATTGAAAAAATTTATTTGTTCTTAGTATACGAGTACAATAATRAACATTAAGTAGTCATCAGTAATATTTAATAAAAAAATTGACCCGTCCGTGCAAATATAATATGATCAATACTATGCATGTCTTTATGCATGTCACTATCGCCTTCATTTTAAAATTTCAATATACATTTATAAGGTCTATTTTATAAATGTAATATTAATTGGTGGTATTACTCACGGAATTTCGCAATTATGGCGAACGAATCACACCAACAACCATACAAATCACGATTTACGCGTGCTTGGGAATATAAAAACTAACAGTTTAAAAATAAGGAATTTTTTTTTTCGTAAAAATATTTATAAATTATAAATCATAGGTATCTAAATAAAAATTAGGACGCGTCGTCGGCCTATTGAAATTATTAATGTGTTGACTTTCCAGAGTGCAGTCCCGTAGCAGGCAACCGGACCGGCCTGCGCTGGAGACGGGCGGCCGACGGCTGCGGCCGTCGTCGCGTTGACATCCCCGCGGTATCCGGATGTGGCCAAGCCGTCGTCCGTATGCGGGTGAACCGATGTCCTGTTTGCGGTGCATGAGCAGGACGAGGACGAGCGGCTGCAGCGGCACGCGTACGGCCACGGTCCGCCACCACCGGTTGCGGTCGAGCATCACCTAGGCACATCGGCCGATACGGCGAGACACCATCCGCACTGCCACCCACCGCCGCCGCGGCCACACGCATGATTTCCGCTTTGGACGTGGTCGCGTTCGGCAACGACAGCTCGCCGCTAACGGTCGCCGGCAACRACACGGCGGGCGGCGCTGCGCCCTCGCCAAACGACACGGCTGCCAACGGCGTCATCCAGTTCCTCGACGACGATCTGTCGTTCCCCGGCTACATACGCACCACGTGCATGGTGGTGTGTGTCATCATATTGGGCGTCGGCGTGGTCGGCAACATGATGGTGCCGATCGTCATACTCAAGTCCAAGGACATGCGCAACTCGACCAACATATTCCTGATGAACCTAAGCATCGCCGACCTCATGGTGCTGCTCATATGCACGCCCACCGTGTTTGTGGAGGTCAATTCCAGACCGGAAACGTGGGTGCTCGGCGAGGAACTATGTGAGTAAATTGAAACATAATATTTATTATTATTATTGTTGTTTTTTTATTTTTTTTTTTATCGAGTAGTTTCTTTACAATTTATGACAAATATATTAAAATGCAAATATGATAAGGAGATAAAGAGTATGACATCTACTCCTTTAAGWCTATAGGCGTATGTTGGAGTTGGAGTTATTAAAAAATCTCAGAAAAAAAAAAATCAAATAAACTATAATACAACTATTATATTACTATTTGTATCTCTGTCTTTGACTTAAGGTGTTATTGTTTCGCAATGTCGTTGCGGTGGTATAGTTAGATATATCGTCGATTGAGAACCATCGATATTGATCTCTGTTTTCCGAACTTTTCGGGAGAAACAAAAAAACCACAATTTCGTTGCCAGGAGATATATTGGAATTTAGTAGGCACTTAATGGGTTAAATTCTAACTTAGAGTTCAACTAATTTCTCTGTGATAGTATATCATGCCTTTAAAGTGTCTGAACAACAGTCATTATAATTAACTTTAAAACGTGTACTGTTTCGGGTCTTTTTGAAATGTTATTTTTACTAAAAGTTCATATGAATGTCTTTAATAGTGCTCTATTATCCGTTTAGATAAGCCACGAGGGCATTTTGATTTTGCACGGTGAAAATAATTTYGTTTTAACCTYAAAACACTAATAACACGTACTTACGCGTCTTAAAAGCAGGAATTTATTTATTTATAACGAAAATTCAAATTTTTAAAGTTTTGTCATGATAGATTTTAATCAACGATATATTATGTGTATTTAGTATTTACTCAAAACATGMAATAATATTGGGTGATATCAGAAAAATAAACTTCATGACATTCCGCGCACCGCTGTTTGAAAACCGTRTGTATAAWCTGTCGACATGACATTTTTTGGTGACGTAGTAATACATTAATAYCATTGTWTAGGATAATATTTTTACGCGATTTATCGAAATATTATGAACAATTTCAGTTGCTTATATTTATATTGAATCGAACGTTATTAATAATATTATAATAATTTATTGTATTTCAATAACTACAACTTCGTATTGTTGCGAAATGGTTGCACAATTACCCATACATATCTTTCGGAGATCAAAACTTTCAGTTAAACACACATTACTATACGCTATGTCATACTATATACATACGAGCCTAACACTACCGTTTAGTCCTATAGGATTATAATAAGTACCTATATATACGTGTTTATAAATATTATATCATATTATTGTATCTATACTCTATACAATTTGTGCAATGCATTATATGCTATCATCATGATCGTCAGATAAAATCGTTTTGTCTGAATTACTCGATGGCACCTTACCAGGGTGGTGGTGCTCGGGTCTATAATATGTTGGAGTAATTTCC